TTCAAGGAGGTAAACCAAAATCTTTCATAACTTTTTTTCTTCCTATAGAATATCTCTTTAAAAATCAGAATAGAATTTGAAGTGAATATGAACTTTAGCTGTCTTTTCTAAATTTGTTCATGCATGTATTCATTCCTTTAATTACCTCATAGATTTAGCATATAATATTTAAGCACTTACTGTGTGCCAGTCACTGCATAAAACAAATGAGTATAAGAAACAGCCCTGTCAACAAGCTGTTTCCATTCACGATGATTAGAAAGGATTTATTTATTATGATTTATTTATCACTTTTGTTTAGAAATGTAGGTTATACTAAATCCTGACTCCTGGTATGGCGCTGTAGGATCAGCACTGGACTATGAACCACAACGTCGTCAGTTCAAACCCACCAGCTGCTCCTCAGAAACCCTATACAGGGTCAGGTCTATGAGTCAGAGCCTACTCAACAGCACTTAAGAACAACAACAAATATTTAGAGCTAATTGGGACCTTAAGTTCAACTCTACTTAAGAGCCCAAATGCCCTGCCAGGATTAGACATCCAGGTTATATCAGAGGCAATAGTGTTTCTAATTAGTCATAATTGTCTATGGTGGTGGTGGTGGTAGTGATGATGACGTGCCGTGGAGTCGGTTCCAACTCATAGCCACCCTGCATAGGGTTTCCGAGGCTGTAAATCTTTACCGGAGCAGAAAGCCACATCTTTCTCCCACGGAACAGATGGTAGTGTCGAACTGCTGACCTTGAGGTTAGCAGCCCAACTTGTAACCACTATGCTATATGAGGCACCAAATACAACTGATATTTTTAACAACATAAAATTTCCAGAGATTTGTAAATTTTAGCCAATTAGTTGAAGATCTCAGTTTTATACATGTATTTAGTATCAAGTGGCCTTCTTTGTTAGAATTCTAGTTACTTCAAAGAGAGATACTTCCAGTGCCAAGATGCTGAAACAAATCTTCTAAATCACTTCTTTCATTATGATTCTCCAAAGGTGTTCAGTTTCATGATATTCATGCTGTGAGACCATTTGAATGCACAGGCATGTTTCAAAGCTCAGATTCTCTTTGATAACCACGGCAGGAATCTTTTCAAGAAGTTTATTTAAAGAGGGCTCTCTGCTTGTTCATTTCAACTTGAGATCCTTTGGTAAACTCTTGGGTGCACAGGAAAATCAGTTGTAAAAACTGGTAATCCTGTTCTGAACATTCTACCAAGAAAGGTAAAACAATACTTACTCAGAGAGTGAAGGAAATCTAATGGGTACCCTGTCTTTGAGTTGAATTTATGAGCGTTTTAAAATTCTAGTGTGCTTCAAACTCAATAATGTATCCTTATTTTATTTTTTAATTCACTTAAAAATTACCTAAAGCTATTAAGTGGGTCCAAGTGCAGAATATCTATGCTTTGTTTGAAAGGATCATTGAGTCTTATATTACAAATACTTGGATCTGTGGTATAAATTGTCTTGAGTTTCTGATTGGTGCATTTTAAAAGAAGAACTCATTTCCTGGGAAATAATGAATGAACTTTGCTTTATTAAGATTTATTTCTCCAGCACATACCTACTGAATGCCTATTATATGCCAGGCTCCATGCTAAGTGCTGGGGATGTGACAGTAATAGGACAGACATGCCCCTGCCCTCATGAATCACAAGACTTAAACTGAAGAACTAGTATCAAAATGTTTTCTATATTTGGAACGTTCCTCTCCTCTGTCCAGCACCCCTCTTCATACCCACTTTGACAGATTCTAAATTTGCATTGCCTTCTATAAGACAAATTTTTTTACATAACTATTGTTGCAATGATATGTGTATGGAAAACTGGCATCAAACTAAAGATTAATTACATCCTGGAGAGTAAATATTGTTGCATATTCCTGAGTTTTTATTATGCAGTTAGGAACTGAGAAATTTTAAGGTAATTAAATTCAAATTCAAGTGGCTGTATTTTCCTCGGGCTGTGTATTGTCAAAAGAGTTAACAATATGCTGGCATCAGATGTTTTGTTTATGATAACATTAGCATGCAACACTACTAACCATTTTTCCTTCAAAAAGATTTAAAATACATTTCTCATGTATGTGTTCCTATTTCACCACATTTTCTGGAGAAAATGGTTGTGCCAATTAGAGCCTTTAACAGAAAACCCTTGTTTTAGTCACAAGTAGCTGTTTTGTACCATTCTCCACGCCCCCCACCCCCTTGTGGGTTTAGGAGACCTTTTTCTTCCTTTTCACTGAGCCTCAGGAATGGTGTCTAGGTACGTGCCAAACCAAAGAAGCAAGAAATATTGAAATTGCACTCTCCAGGCAGTTTTTGTAACTATTGAGAATAGCTTCTTGTTTAAGAAATGTGGTATGACTTGTTGAGGTTGTCCTTTTCTCCTGAAGTCCACCAGTTAGGTTTTTTATATATTTTAAAAAGTATTTCAATCTTCAACGTACGCATATGCAACATTTTTTAGTCTTCATTTATCTAGAGAGCATTTTGACGCATGCTCACCTCTCCAGCAGAGTCTCTGTGTAGATGTAATATGTTGATACACTAAAAGCCAGGTGCCTCACTCCTATGAGAGCCCCTGGGATTGTCACAAGGCACCTATTTAGTATTCAGACCAATTGGCTATCAGATTTGCAAGCTTAAAAAATATCATTTTAACTTTAAAATAATTATGAAGTCTTTCAACCATCAGAAAATAATATAATAGAGCCCCCCCATACTTACCACCCACATTTAAAAGAGACCTGGTGTGGTGCTTTAGCATATGCACTGGACAGGAGCCCTGGTAGCATAGTGGTTACGAATGGGGCAGCGAACCATAAGGTCAGCAGTTGGAAACTACCAGCTGATCCGCGGGAGAAAGATGAGGCTTTTTGCTCCAGTAAAGATTTACAGCCTCAGAAACCCTGTACAGGGTCGCTATGAGTCAGAACCGACTCCACGGCACATAACAACAAAAACAACTAATAGTAAGGTTGACAGCCCACCGGCTGCTCCAGGTAGCTATGAGTTGGAACTGATTCGATGGTACTTAGCAACATGATTTTTGCCATCATAAAAATGTATTAGCTAGAAAGTAGAGGCTGGTAGGAATAAGGATAGGGACGGATAATGAACTGAAGAACTTGGAGTAGGCACCCTGGCCTCACCTAAGCGAGAAACTGAAAGGCAAGAAGGAAAAATTCTACACTAGAGTTAGGTTCTTATACACCAATATTATCTGGGCCCATTGGGGTCAAAGGCAAACTCTTCTTACACTCTAGAAACCCTGAGGTTTCCCTCTTATGTTAACTGATGGTATTTATTGATTAATCATTAATAAAAGATTAAAATGTTTCATTCATTCTGGAGAAGGAACACACGTATTCAAGCAATTTGAAAAACATTGAAGTAAATATAAAAGATTTAAGAATCGAGTTCTGAACCTCAAAGGGGGTAAATTTTAGTTTTTTGGAACATTTGACACATTCCTCTGTGATGCCTTAATATTCAGAGCAGTAAAAATTCTTCATTGGGAACAGGGTGTCCTTGAATTTTTTGATAATTTTTTTTAAAGCAAACTCTTTACTAAAGAACAACATACATGCAGAAAAGTGCCTCAATCAGAAGGGATGCATTTTTATAAAGTGAACACACCTGAGTAATTAGTACCCTGCTCCATATATTCACTTATTTTACTGGTGATGGGCATTTGGGAAGTTTCCAGTTTGGGGCTACTACACAGATGAGACGTTTCAAAAAGTTCATGAGAAAATTCCATTATCTTTTCATTCCATTTTTCCATGAAGTGTATGAATAATAATATTTTAGTATATGTCTTCTGATGAATATATGAGGGGGCTTAAAATTGTTTGTGGAAAATGAAATGAAAAAATAATGTAATTCTGGCTGCAGTTCTTCCAAGACAGGTTTGTAATGTACTTTTTAAAGCCCCCTCTGGCACTTAACCAACATCAGCAACACCTCATATGTGCATATTACTTTGGGGCATACACCAAGGAGTGGTGGTGTTGTTGTGATGTGCCATGGAGTTGGTTCCGACTCATAGTGACCCTGTACAGTGTTTCCAAGGCTGGAAATCTTTACGGGAGCAGAAAGCCTCATCTTTGTCCCGCACAACAGCTGGTAGATTCAAACTGCTGACTGTGAAGTTAACAGGCCAATTCATAACCACTACATTACCAGAGCTCCTTAAGGAGTGGCATTGTTGGATCCTTAAGGCTTGTATAAGCTAAGGTTAAGTAGATGCTAAGTGGTTGTTCTCATTTACACTTCCACCAGCCAAAGGAGAGTTCTGATGACTTCACATCCTGTCCAACTAACTATTTTCTGGTTTTATCCAATCAAATGGGTGGTAGAGATATTTTCATTTGGCTTTAATTTGCATTTCCCTTATGACTAATGAAGCTGATTACCTTTATTATGCTTATTGACCACGTGTATATATTCCTTTCTGAAATGTCTATGCAAATCTTTTGCAATCTTTTTCCTAGACAATGTACACATTCATATATATATATATATATATATGTATGGAGATAATAAGCATTAACCAGATTTAGAATTTAGTTTGGGATGTATTGATTACATTGGAGATATTTGGGAGGCATCAATCTAAATGGTTATGTCAAGAAAGCAGTTAGAGGCGTGGATTTGGAGTTTGGCAGAAAGTTCAGGGCTGGAGATGCAAAATTTGGACTCCCTGCCATGAAGCTAACATTTCAGTAGGAGAGTGAAAGGAAAACATAGCTATAGCAATGAACTTAAGGAGCACCCACATTAGCAAATTGCAAATGAAGAAGATACCAACAGAAAAGTCCAAGAAGGAGCCACAGGAGAGGCAGGAATAACACAAGAAAGTAGAGAGAAGCAGAAGCCAAGAGGAAAAGACTACACAAGTGTGAGTGTCCAGCGCGTCAAACTATTCGTCCTGTGTTAATTTTTTCCCCCACTTTTAATACGGTTCTGTCCTCCTTCATCTCTCCTTAGCCATCATTGTGTACAGACTACCGTGGACCTGGAAATGCAGCAAGCTCCTGATGAAATCCATTCACGCGGGCTTGAACTCCGTGGCAGCCATTCTTGCAATCATTGCTCTGGTGGCTGTTTTTGATTTCCACAATGCCAAGAATATCCCCAATATGTACAGTCTGCACAGCTGGATTGGACTGACAGCCGTCATACTTTACATCTTACAGGTCTGTGAATCAGTGTATTTATAAACAAGGTGGGAAAAGTAAAACAACTCAGATACTGTAGATGTTCTCTAAACATACGTGCTTTCTTGGAAATATCCTATTTCCACTAGCCCTTCTGACTAGTTTGTTTCTATTACAAATGTTTCCCCCGGAAGGGCTGCTGAAACTACAGAATACACAGACTGTGGGCTCAAATGTGAGATATAAATTTTGACAAATGTCTGTAGGGAAATTTTCATCTCAGAACATCTAGTCTGACATTTTTTGGGCTTTAAATTTCATATGCTGAATCAACTAGGATCAGCAAGTTGATTTTTACCCCTCATACTCTCTGTCTCTTCCATTTTCTAGGTTTAACATTATGAGTGAAGAGATTAATTTATATTTCTTTGTTAGATTTTGAATGCACAGTGACAAAAGTCAGAATTCTATTTTCTTTCTCCCTCTGTTTTCTCTTCAGTTTTTTTTAAAAAATAATATTGTATTGTGTTTCTGGTGTTTACACAACATATTTAATTCCCATTTAACTATTGCTACACAAAATATCCAGTAACATTGATTACATTTTTTCAGAATGTATCAATATTATCTTTAATCCCATTCTAGGTGTTCTGCTTCCAGTTATCTAGTTTCCATGCCCTCTTACTTCCTTATCTTTACTTTTGGGTAATTATTACTATTTGGTCTTGTGAGAAACATTGTCCATACTGACAAATGCTGAAGTAATCCAATCTGCACTCATTTTAGAGAGAGTGAGGTTTTCTTTATTCGATTTTGCAAAATCAGACACCCAACTCAGTAGACAAGGGCAGACATGCTGCATGGCCGGCCCCCAAACAGTTTATTCCCCTGTCTTGAAAAAGCCCCTCCTCCAGTCCCCCTTTTACTGGGCATTATGGAGTTTACAATGTCCTCCCTAATGTCAATTACTTGTCCTTACTGGAAGCATTCTCATTTAAAGTTAGTTTCCCCTTTCCCCATGAACTTTCCCTAATTTCCTTGATGAATGTATTTTTTTTTTAAGTTTTTATTGTAAATTGAATGATAGTTTACATGAGAGAGCATCAGCTTTACATTCATCCTATTGTATTTTGTTCCATTGTAATGATTACAATCTCTTCCATGCATCATCATTCAACAGCATTTGCTTCCATTCTGTTACTTTGGGTTTTTGTTTGTTGTTTTTTTCGGATGTACACTGAAGCATTCAGGAATATACAACCATTCAAACAACCAAAGGGTATACCCTGCAGGCCAGTCCTTCTCCCTCCTTGAGTCTAGAGTCCCCAGCTGTTCCATCTCTCCACATCATTGTCTCTGCCTCCATCTCTGGCGTTACTGCTTCTCTGGATAGGGTCCCACACTCTGCTCCTCTCCCTTGATGGTCCCAGGGTTCTCTGCTCCTGGACTGCAAGATCAACCACTGATGGGTGTATTATTAGTTTAAAGTTCCTAGCCTGTCAAACTAGTTCTTCCTCTCCACTGAGCTCCTTTTGTTATGCTAGCCTGCTACCCCCAAGACTCCCCTCAGTCCTTAAGATGGGCCACCCAAGCCAACAAGAGTTATTTCTCACAGTCTCATACAGATTTATTTTTTTAAAGAACCATAGTACTCATGGTTCATATTCTTTATTTTTATGAGTGACTCTATTACTAAGTTAAAAGGTAAACTCGGGCTAGTTGTGGGTAAAGGTTTAAAGAGTATCTTGGGATGAAAGGCTCAGGAAATCTTCCAGTCTTAACAGGTCCAGCAAGTCTGGACTTCGTAAGAATCTGAGTTCTGTTCCACATCTATCTGTCATCCTATCAGGATCCATCTGTTGCATCCCTGCTCAGAACAGTCAACAGTGATAGCTGGGTGCCATCTAGTCCCTCAGTAGATGAGACCATGGTTCATATAAACTATTAGTCCTGTATAGTAGCGTCTCTGACTCTTTAATTTCCTTGTTCCTCTTTTATTCTGGACAAGTAGAGACCAATAGTTGTATCATAGATGGCTGCTTATAAGCTTTTAAGACCTCAGATACCACTCACCAAACAAGAATGTAATCATAAGCTTTCTGAACTACAGTATGCCAATTGATCAAGTTGTCCCACAAGACTATGATCCTAAACCTGCAAACTGAGAAAATCAAACTAATAAGATATTTGGTTGTCTAAGAATTATCTGTCCTATAAGAAGGTGATGTAGGATAAGCATTGGACTGCTAACTGCAAGGTTGGTGGTTCAAACTCACCAGCCACTCCTCAGAAACCCTATACAGGGTTGTTATAAGTCAGAACCGAGTCAACAGCACATAACAGCTATAATAACAAGTATCCATAACTGTGCCCTCTATATGGTTTATTATATATATGAATATATGTGCATGCATACACATATCTGTATATACACACAGATACCAATAAAATAGCATATGCTGTTAAGTGCTGTTGAGACAGTTCTGTCTCATAGTGACTCTGTGCAATGTTTCTGAGGCTGTAAATCTTTGCAGGCTCGGAAAACCTCATCTTTCTCCTGAGGAGTGGCTAATGAGTTTGAACTGTCAGCCTTGTGTTTTGCAGTCCAGTATTTATGCTACAAAGTCACTGTGCTCCCTCATAACATATAGATGCACACATACATATGCATATAGATATGCACAGATACACATATGTGGGTATGAAATATGAACACAAAAATCTACACCACTGGACCAATAAACAACATCCATATAAATTGAGAAAAGATAGAAGTTGTCAAAGACTTCATTTTGCTTGGATCAACCATCATACTCATGGAAGCAGCAGCCAAGAAATCAAACAATGTATTTCTTTAGGCAAATCTGCTGCAACGACCTCTTTAAAGTGTTGAAAAGCAAAGATGTCAGTTTGAGGACTAAGGTGCACCTGACCCAAGCCATGGTAGTTTCAATACGCATGTGAAAGTTGGACAGTGAATAAGGAAGACCGTAGAATAATTGATGCATTTGAGTTATGTTGTTGGAGGAGAATATTTAAAGTACAATGAGCTGCCAAAGATCTGTGTTGGAAGAAGTACAGGCAGAGTGCTCCTTGGAGGCCAGGATGGCCAGACTTCGGACGTATCATCAGGAAGGACCAGTCCCTGGAGAAGGATATCATGTTGGGTAAATTGGAGGGTCGGAGAAAAAGAGGAAGACTCCCAACGATTTGGATTGGCACAGTGGCAACATCAATGGCCTCAAACAAGCAACAATTGTGAGGTTGGTGCAGGACCGATTAGTGTTTTGTACTGTTGTCCACAAGGTCTCTATGAGTCGGTGGCACCTAACAACTACAACATATATGCATATATCCTTACATATGTAACCACACACATTTGTTGTTACTGCTTCCTTTTACTTTTTAAAAACGTATATCCTTAGGAACAGAGCACAAAGCTGCTTCAGAAAAGTTCATAGTAAAATTCCATTGCCTTTCAATTTCATTTTTCTGTGACCTTTTGAAGTCTGCTTGTATTTAAACCTAAATTAATGGAGTCCCATAGGGATTTAGCTATTATGAGTCACTAAAGCAAAAGTTAATTTAAAAATTCTTTTTGGTCTTAACCATTTTGTTGGAAAAATTTTATAAAGTATATTGATTCACTGCTCTTGCTTACTTGTTATTGTTAATTGCCGTTGAGTCTGTTCTGACTTATAGTGACTCTATATGATAGGGTTTCTGAGGAGCAGCTGGTGGGTTTGAACTGCCAAACTTGTGGTTAGCAGTCTAGTGCTTATCCTAGAGTGACATACCAGAACTCCTGTATATATGAGAATATCCATCTATTTGATTGGGACCTATATCGTGAACTTTATTTTTCTGTGTATAATATAGGAGGAATAAAGAACTCGAGTGAATTCACAAAACCCCAAAGACATTTTAAAGTGGGTGATCCTTTGCATTATTAATCAGGTTCTCCAGAAAAACAACCAGTAAGACACGCAGGCGCTTTAAAAAGTCCATGGAAAACTGGAATTAGGATGTAATTTAAATTTTTCATAAACTTTTGAAGCCCCCCATATGAGTGTGTGTATACAGAGAGTGACTGATTTTAAAGAACTGGCTAATAAAATTGTGGGCCTGGCAAGCCCAAAACTCATAGACCAGAACAACAGGCTGGAAACTACAGCAGTCTTGCTTGAGTTTAAAATTCATAGGGCAGATGCCAGGCTGGAAATTCAGGCAAGATAGCTATGTTACTGTCTTGAGGCAGAATCTTTCCTCCTCAGAAATGTCATCATCAACTGAATGAATGAGATCCATGCATGTTTAAAAGACAGGAGTAATGTGTATAGAAAAATGCCGTTTTTTTGGAAGAAAAAAAAAGAAAGGAAATAAAGTTAGAAGGCATTATGTATGGGTGTGTAGAGAAAGGTATGGGAGAATACATAAACCAAACTGTACCATATGCAAGCAGTATTGACTGGGGAATGGTTAAAAAAATTTTTTTTAAAGTTTTTATTGTGAATTGAGTGATAGTTTACATGGGAGAACATGGGTTTTACACCATCGTTTTATTGCAATGATTACAGTCTCCTCTGTGCATAATCATTCAACAGTATTTGCTTCTATTCCCTCTGTTTTTTGGGGGGGTTGGTGTAGGGGATCTACACAAAAACACTCAGGAATATATAAAAATTTAAACAACCAAAGGGCACATTTTACAAGCCTGCCTCCTGGCTACCATCACACAGCCTTTCTCTTTCCATGAGTCTAGAGTCCTCAGCTGCTCTATCTCTCCATGTCCTCCTCTCTGCCTCCATCTCTGGTGTCTCTACTTCTCTGGATAGGATCCTGCATTCCACTCATGCCCTTCTCTCTTGATGGTCGTAGGGTTCTCTCTTTCTGGACTGTAAAATTAACTACTCCCCTGTTGGCCACCCGTTTTTGTTACAAAACTTATACCTTTACAGCTGTGACAGTCTCAATTAGTCATGATAATGATTACTCACTATTGAATCATAAGACTCTTATCCCTATCTCTTTTCACCAGA